TGTGAGAGGACAAAGGGTACAACGCCCTCGCGGACACAACTGGAGATATGTGGCGGCGTGCGCGGCTTTGACTTGAGATGGAGCCGGGATTAGCAGTTGTCACACAGTAAGCAGCGGTAAAGCCTCCACTACAACATCAATGCAACCTGACATTTTTGCAGAAAAGGAAGGATTATATTACGCAGATAACAAACAAAGGAAAACATAAACACACCCACACACGGCTTTGGTTTTTCAGCCCTATCACTTGTCTATTGAGAAAATATCTTTCTTATTTATTTGAAGAAGTGTGATGCAGAGGTCCAAGTGATATCTGAGAAATTAAAAGTAACATCTTGTGCACGATGCCATTCACAACAGAAATGGCAAATATTATTTATATTATATTATACTATGTTTCTCAGTGCTAACCGTAAACTATAGCAGGCACTGATAAAAGCATCATTAAATATACGTTGTGTAATAGAAGTAATAGTAGTAGTCGAAGTATTAGTAGTAGTAGCAGTAGTAGTTGTAAAATGAAAGCAGTATATTCATTCAATCTTTCTCACCATTGTCCTTTTCAGGCGCAGACATTACAAACATGAAAGTCTTTTATGTTGTAGTGTCATGTAAAGAGCAGCAGTGTTGAATTTCCCTGCACCTGTGTGTGTGTGTGTGTGTGTGTGTGTGTGTGTACGTGTATACGAATGTGTGTGTATGCAGGCCTACGTGTGTTTATATTGCTGTAAAATTGATAAAATTGCTATTGTAAGTGTGCATGCAGTCCGTGTGTGTGTGTGTGTGTGTGTGTACGTGTATACGAATGTGTGTGTATGCAGGCCTACGTGTGTTTATATCGCTGTGTAAGTGTGCATAGAGTCCGTGTGTGGGTGCGTGTGTGTGTGTGTCTATGTGAGAGAGAACAGCTCCTACAGGTGTCCCCCTCTTAACCACTGGACTTGTTCCCAGCGTGTACGGTTCCAAAAAGCACCTTTATAATCTGACAGCTTTTAAAAAACTGGCAGAGAAACAGCAAGCGATTCTTTAAATGTTTTCAAGTTGGAGCGACTCACGGCGACACATGAGCTGCAGGCGTATAAAACCCTAACGGCAGATATGACGCGAGCTGGCAATGCACACACTGACATTTATACTGGGTCTGGAAATATACACGGGTACTTTAGATTTCTTCAGGTGCTTTTTGAGATGTTAATCAGTTAGAAAAGTAGAATTGAGCTTTCTACTGTTTCACAATACAACTATTTAAACGTTTTATCTTTGATTTAATCTTGTAGTTTTGAAAAGAGACATTATATCATACAGTACATTAGGAACATGGGAAGTTTCGGATGTACACAGCAAAAACCTGGAATGGTTTCAGATTCAAATAAACTGTTTAGCTATGCATACAACTGAAGGATTTTTAATGTTGTTATTTTAACTGAATGTACTGATATTTTACTTATTATATATTTAGAATATGATATCATATCTTAAGTAGAGAATACAGTATATGGTGAAACAAGTATAAAGGGTAAATAATGCTATCGGCCCGTCCCATACCACCAGAGGGAGAGTAAAAGAAGATGTATTCCAAATTAAAAAATGGCTCTATTTCCAGCCATGTGATTGAAATGAACATTATTTAACCTGAGAAAAGGTCAAAACGATGAGGAACAGTTTTGTTTTGAGAGGCAGAAAACTGCTCATATACAATAGTTTCACAATGACATCATACTTATACAGGACTGAGGCAGGAGCTTTGCAGAAGGGGCAGAGTTACATGTTTGTGCCAGAGGTTCTTGATATCAGCGTGGCTGGATCTAAAACAACTCCAGTTCTGTTTTTATAGAGGGAACAATGTTGTAGCATGGTTAACATAAAAATGCCAATATGTCTCATTTAAGGCTTCATCTCTTATGTTGTAAAGAACTTTGTGTTTCGCTTTGTCCTGTACAAATAAGGTAGTGGACCCATTATAAAAGTTACCTGGCAATTTGTTTTCATAAAGTGCTGGAAATTCCATAAACCCCAACAATTGACTGAAAAAAAAAAAAAAATGTAAATACATTTTCAGAAGAATGTATTTGAAATTTTACAACCAACCAAACAAAAACCCACTTCCCTCATCATTTCAGCTATGCAATTACCCAGCAATAAATACCAGTGAAATTCCAATGAGAATCAATGAGCAACATTAGGCTCAGTATTGCGTGCCATAAACAAAACAAAGGTAACCTACATTATCGATCACAGAGACTAGAGAGTGGCACGTCTCCAATTGTTTTTCAACACTGGTCCGGATCAATATGGAGGAGTATGAGAAGAGCACCGGGGCCTAAACGATGCCTTCTCCTTTTCCAGAGCGGCCTGCATTGACATACTGCCTGCTTGGAGTGGGTCTGGTCGATGGTATTGTCATCCTCTTCAAATTTATCATGTGTATGGATGCTCTGCCATGTTGATTCTGCCTCGATTTCAACATGCCAAGACAACATGCCAATAGCTGATGATTTATACGGACGCAGGTAGGATGGGGAGAGCTATTTTTGTCAGAGAACGGACACTATGTAACTTAGTTTGGTTGCTCTGATGCCTGGTTTGGTAAGAATGTTCCCTTCTGACAGTGGATCAAGCCTATTTTGACAGAGCTTATTATTTTCTAGAAACAATAGGACATTAAGCGTTTCATTACATATATCAGTACTATGTTGGCTCAGTTGGTAGAGCATTGGCCTTTAGGCCCGAAGGTCGTGGGATCGAGCCATAGACTGTATATATTAACGGACAAAGTCACGCTTATCTCCGCCGTTCTAACTAATGGGCCAAAAAATGTGCTCTACTGGAGCAATCCAAAATGGTCGAGAGTGGTCCCGCCCACAATTTTTTTTTGAAAAAATGCATCTGCGCATGCGTCAGCCGGCGCAGCTCCATTCATTTGAACGAGAGACTTCAAAAATTCACCGTGAGTAAACGAGAGTGGACCAAAAAAATTCACCCCCCTCAGCATTGACACACATGTGGAACGGAGCTTTGGGCCAAGAGCCAACTTTTGGACCATCCTGTAAAGACAATTTTGAGAGGTCTGCCAACGCTATATGTTAGCATTGGCTAATTCTTCTTCTGGGTCCACCCCCATCGGCCCGGGGTGGTATTGCAGCATGTCAGCGCACGTCATTTTGGCCACTTTTGAGCTGGGACCCGCCCCCACTGGTTCGAGCCCACCACGAGACCTTAATCCACTTTGCCTATGAGGAGTGTGGAAATGATGTTCGCTGCTTGCCTTGATATGTGTATGCATCAAACTGATATTTCCCCACTGTGGGATGAATAAAGGACCTTCTTATTCAGTCTTTCTGATGGGGGCAGATACTTGATATGTCTTTGCTTTGAACGTATCACAGTATAAAGCTTATACATTATATTCTGACTCATAATTCAAACACACTGTGATAGACTGCAGGCAAAACAACATTTACAGCCCCAACCACCAGGAAAGTTTTGTACTGCACCTTTAAATTGTTGCCTCATGTTTGGTTGGGCAGGCATGGTATTTTCAGGAATCCTCTTGTTGGCGCTGCTATTAATAACATACTTAGCGGTTTTATGAGGAAAAAACAGGCAACATGGTGGTGGTCTCAATAATTACTCACACACACTCGCATAGGAAGTCATTAAAGAACATTCCGTGGGCACCTGTCCGTCCTGCTGCAAAGAAAGTGTATAAAGGTTAAAGTGTGTGATTGCTGGCTCCATGGGACTATGAGAAAGCAGGTGGCTCCAGGACAAAAACTCAGGGAGGACACAACAGTCTGCTCTGGACAGACAAACACTGTTCCATCGAGGAGCTTCAAACATAAAGCAAATTAATCAATTACATCCGAGGAGGCAACAAATATTCATAATCTCTCCATTCCATCTAAAATCTCCATGAATCAAAATTATCATAATAATTGTAGCATTTTGGCGGCACAGTGGTGCACTGGTTAGCACTTGTGCTTTTTACAGCAAGAAGGTCCTGGGTTCGATTCTACCACCATGCCTTTTTGAGTGGAGTTTGCATGTTTTGTGTCTGCGTAGGTTTCCTCCAGGTGCTCCGCTTTCCACTACCACCAAAAACATGTACAATAGATCTGGCATGTGCCTCCTGTACAGTGACTCCCCTCCCATCTCTGTGTGGAGTGGGAGACAAATACCCACAACAATTGTAGGGCTTTGTGACTCTCTGAAAGCACCCCAGGAAACCCAGGTGGAACAACACTGGGAGAACATGCAAACTCCACACGGAAAAGCCTGAATGTGGAATCAAACCCAGAATCTTCTTGCTGTATTTCGGTTACATTTCTTCGAGTGGATCCTCCCTCGAATCCTTATAAAACTGCACTGGAAATATCACATTTGGTCAGATTTATGGCTCTCGCTCATATAAGGATAAGCTATAGTTTTAGAAAAGATAGAAAAGTATGGAAAAGTGATTTTCCATACTTTTGATAAGCCTAATAATCCATAAATAATGAATGTACACATAAAAGCTCAGTTTGAATAATGTATTTGAAGATATTGAGCCAGACGTAGAGCTTCTTATAGTTGCAATTTAAGACTAATTGATGTTTGATTCGGGTATGCGCTCTGAAAAGATTCCATTGAATGTTTATTATTGTCTTTTTGGTGTCACGCTGGGTTGTATGGGAGGCGTGCACTTGATAAACAGGGCGTGGATAGAGTGGCAGAGCAGCAGCAGTAGCAGCAGTAGTAGTAGTAGTAGACTATAATAGACCAGTGGGGTTTCCTATGGAGCTGGGAAGAGCACGGCGGGCAGGCTGTGTGCACGGTGACAGGCGCACAGTGACATCCTGCACTTTTCACAGGGAATTCCGAAATAAAAGAAAATGAGACGCGCCATTGGAGGACACTTCTCAACAAGGACAGGGAAAGTTTGACACATCACTTTCTTTACGGGACTTCACCGATTATGGCACGTTTCTCGCATTGTAACTTTACGCCGAGGATCACCGCTCATGGGATGTAGCGCGGGGGCATGTGCGCTCAACTTGGGACACCTGAAGGCGCAGTCCAAGCTGTCCGTCTTCTTTACCATGATCCTCCTCTTCATGTACCTATTTTACTGCTTAAACGGATACTGCGAGTCCATCCCCAGACCCGTGTATGACCATCAGAGCAATCATCTCCAAAGCAGGCTGCAAGAAGAGGGACTCAGTGCGTACAATGCGTCCCAGCTGGCCAGAAAGACATCGCATGACTTGGACAATAGACTTCAACCAAATAACATTTCTATAGCAAATATTTACGGGGCGAGAAAGTTTCCCCAAGCCATTATCATAGGCGTAAAGAAAGGAGGAACGCGCGCGCTGCTGGAGTTTTTACGCATCCATCCCGACGTGAGAGCGGTGGGAGCAGAGCCGCACTTCTTTGACCGCTTCTATGAGAAAGGACTCGAATGGTACAGGTGAGAGACGTACATCCTTTATACAGGGACCGTCTTGTAAAGAAAACCTCGGGCGTTTTGTAAGCTGTGGTTAAAGTAAGAATAGACAGGGGCAGAAGAGAGGGCAAGTTTATGTCACAGGTCAAGACTGCAAAGATCTATACAGCCAGACTGTTTGGGATGATGATTCTGTAGTAAAACTCAGAGTAAACCTCAGCTTTTACCCACATGATTGAGGCTGTCTGGCTACCTGACTTTCTTCTACATTAATATTACATTTTATTTGTTCCAACAAGTCAAGGCAAGGAAAGGCAAGTTTATTTGTATAGCACAATTCATACAAGTGTGGCAAAAGCGAAATTTAAGGATCAAAACTGAAGAAAGAGTTACTATTTGACGATAGAGCGAGGATGGTCCTCCCTGATCCACAGATTTGAGAGGCCAACTATGAGTGTCATAACTAGTAATATGGATTTTATTACATAATGTATGCTTTGTAATGAAGTACCCCGGCTTTAACATCTAACATATATAAAGTAATATGCTTTGGACTCTAGAGTTTGGACTGTGTAAAGTCACTGCTTATGCAAAGGCAACTCTCTTTCTAAATACAACAATACAACAGTGAAATTGAAAATAATGATACATTAAGGGATACATAGATAAAAGCCTGAAAAGTAATCATTTCAGAGTTTTTTCTGGAAACAGCCAAACATGCTCAGGGGAAAACGTGTTCCCAACATTGCTCACAAGTTCATGTTTACTTCAGAATAGTGACAGCTCAGACAGATATCAGTCGAGGCATGTCCCGGCTGTATTTGCACACACATTTCTTTAGCTCCAAGATTTCTCTGTCACACTCCCCTGGACTGTGGGCTGCTGCTGTCCCCATGGTCCAGTGCAGTGCTGACCAATCACAGGTCACTCAGGGCATTGACACACAGGGCTCTAAACCACAGGGGGACTGAGATTTCTGCTTTGTGTACACTTCAGTGCTGCCCTTTGACTCTAGATGAAAAGTTGCAAAATGAGCTGTTTTTTTTAAGCCTGGCACCTTAGGCACATTTTATAACTATGCACTGTACTGTTCAATTCTGTACTGACTGTTGGTGCAATAACTCCCTAGGCTTACATAACTTTCATCTTATTGTATATTTTTTCCTAAAATTCACATAGATGTTTTTAGTGGGAGTTTTCCTCAAAGGTTTCTGCAAACAAGAACGAGCAACAACTACATAGTCCAGACACAGCACGCTGCACAAGCATTAATCTTTGACCTTGGTGCTTTATCTACAGGAAGTGCAAAAAATAAAACATTATGTTGTTACAAAAAACATCTTAAGAACTCTGTGGGAACTGTGATAAGATACAATAAATACAGTAGAAGTAGTTTGACGTTGCTGTTAAGAGTGCAATAAATATCATAAGAAACATACATTTCCAATCCATGTTTTTGGTTTTATATGTACGGCATAATGTACAGTACGCAGGTCAATAAAGGAACTGCGTACTATACATTATCCCGCTTATTATACGGCTTTGCACCAACTGAACACACACAAAATAAACTTCAGTCCACTTTTATGAATGCCGAAAGATTTATTTAATGACTGCAAATATAATAGTTCCCAAAGGGTTCCCATGGTAACAGTTAGGCTGGCAACTTCAAAACTGGAACTCATGAAAACGGAACAAAGAATTCCGAACATCAGCGGTGAGTGACCCAAATATAAACTCAACCTAAATCCATATTTCGATCTTCTGCAAATGTGTCTTAAAATGTTAATGGTTACTTCCGGGTTTACCACTGTCGCTTTTTGTGATAATAAAACAGTATTTTTGTCATGAAAACGATAACAGATCATTCTGAAAACCTCCGTGCATGTGTGTTACGAATGTAAGGCAAGGCAAGTTTATTTGTATAGCACAATTCATACACAAGGCAACTCAAAGTGCTGAACAAAAAAATCATAAATAATCACAGAACATTAAAAAGAAAGATAAAAATATAAAATCCCTCAGTTGTATGCACAGAACTGTTTTTAATCTGGTTTTAAACATTGTCAGAAAGGAGGCCTGTCTCACATCTTCAGGAAGATTGTTCCAGATTATGTTCCAGTATATGTATAATGTATTCTCTGATTAACATTTAAATGTGTTGAATGATTGTTATACGTGTCTATTGAGCGTGGCTAACTTCTCTCACAGAGACAGTAGGAGCGTAAGTGGCCGGAACTACTTGCGGAGTAATCTACACATCTGAATAACAAGCAGAGAGTGCGTTGCCAAAGGGCAGCGGTCATTATTGTTTTGAGAGGTCGGTTATCAAAAAATAAGGACCGGTAGAACGTTTTGAAATGACATTCAAATCAATGGGGCGTTTCACTGCTGCTGTGAGGAGCCGTGTGATAATTTAGATGTTTAATGTTGAAACATTTATGACCTGATAACAGGACTAACAAGAACTTAGGCCTTATGCAAGAAGCTTCACCCACATGCCTAGAAGGAGTCTGGTGTGTGTGTGAACGGTTGTTGGTGGTGGTGGGAGATTGGCACAGATTGGTTGCCTCACACTTCTGTCAGTGTGCCCCAGGGCAGCTGTGGCTACAGTAGTAGTTTATCACCGTGGTGTTTGGCGTGACATGTGAAGTGCCCAAAAAAGCTCTATATAAAACCGATGAATTATTAATATTAATCATATTAATCATATTATTATTATCATTATTGATATCATGAAATAGTGCTCAAGTGAAAAAAAATGATCCACTATTGTTACCCCATATTGACCAATCAAATCTTGCGATTTGATTTGATGTTTTAATGTTGGACGATTTAATAGGGCTGAGATATAAACAGAAATTATTGCATATTACGTATGTTTTTTTATTACAGCATAGAGCTGTTTACCCATAATACTTATTTCACCAGTGTTTTTGAGTTACAATATTTTTTTTTTCATGGCCAACAATAATTAATAACATTTGTTCTTCAAAAGCCAACAACAGTTTTGTCAGTTGTTTGTATGTTTGTTCCAAGCATGGGGACATGCACAGTTTGACAAAAGATGCCAAAAGGACAGAATTTCACTAGGAGTGGGCGATATGGAAAACTAAAATATCTCGATATTTTTTTCCCAACTCCCAATAACGATATTGTCACGATGTCTTTAAAATCAATCATTTTTACACAAAATGATCTGCAATGTTTTGCTTGCCAGGCCATCTATAGATAGAGACAGTGTAGTTCAAAATGAAGCTTTTTATTTGTAAAGTGCTTCACACATATTTGCAAAACATGCACAAACATTTATTAACATTAAAAATCAAATTCAAGTAACAACGAAAGAAGAAATCCAAAAAGGCTAGATCAATATTTACTGAAATGTACAAATAAAGCAGTGATTGGCTTTTTAGGCACACATTAGACGAATGGGCATCTTTCCTTCTCTAATTGTAAAATGTATTGAAAAATAAAAAAGACAATAATACAAAAAAGCATATCTTAAAATTGACTTTCACGATTTTATTGTCTACGATATATTTTGCCCTCCCCTAGTACTCACAAATTGCTTTCTCTTTTCATAGTTATCTAGATTTAAAATGCAGAAGTGTTCCGGCCTCTACAGCTCCTTGCTCACCAAAACATCAGCTGTAGTGATCAGTCGATCCTGCTCTTCATTATCCCTCCAGACCAATAAGACGTAGCGCTGATCGCTTCCAGTGGAGTCCCCTGCCAATAAATCGCTGTTTATTGAGCTGACACACTGCCTCCCTAAGTGTCTCCTGCTGGTCCCTTGGGTGTTTCCGTCACAAGCAAGTTGATCGCAGTGGGAGGATGGGATGGTGCTGAGACGGGTGGGGTCTGATATGAGGGACTTATTACACTGGGTTGACTGGTTAGAACAGGATAAGTCTGCTCAGAACATGCTCAGAACATGGTTAAGGTAAATGTATCAAATAAATGTATGCATGTAATATGTATAAATGTATCAAATAAATATAATATAATATAATATAAGGGACATGAGGTGGGACTAACATCTAAGCAGAAGGGATTTCAAAGATTTTACAAGAAAACAAAAATGATTGTTTCTTTGTAAGTGAATTCACAGATTCTAAACGTAATGGAAAACATTTTGAGGGTGATAGTTTCAGACTGAATGTTTCCCAACCTGTGGGCGGAGGTCTAAATTGGGTCATGGTGATGGTTCTTTATTTGGGTCGCCTAAATGTTCCTGACAGACTTCCTATATGCTATTTCACAGAATATAAACACAATTATTGTTTTTTTTTAAATAATTAGTGAATCAACAAATCACAAATATATATATATATATAGTATATATAGTCTGACAAGGATTGTATTTAGAGTAACTTATTTTGAATGCATAAATAATAAAGATACAAGCATAAATCAATCCATAGTGTTGTGCAGAGGGAAGACAAACACAGACAAAAGCAGTTTAAAGGCCATTTAACACAAGACCAAGACATCATTAAACAAACATAACATTGCAATATCTATTCCAATGACAGTATTCCCTGATGATGTGATGCATTGCCGCTCTCCCCACTCCCCTCTGAGCACATTATGAACTGCATTTTTTGCTTTTAGCCCCTAAAGTGTGGACAGGTCATGTCAGCAGCCTGTGAATCGGAGCGGTGTAATGACAGGTCAGGCATTAGCACGGACAGCCCAGGGACCACCGGACGGCCTGCCAGGGATTAGAGGCCCTCCACCGGTTGCAGTTAAACAAGCCTTATCCTCCCCGCCCCATCACCTCATACAGTCTGACTGCTGGAGCTGTGTGGAAAGTTTACAGGGCCCAGGGGCCGCTTACTTCTCCCACTTAAAGCAATAAGACTTAAAACGACACTATTTTATACCCGACATGGGGACTCTTTCTTTTCATGTCACTCTCCTGTACATGGCTATCAGCTCATGAAGTATAGGAACAGTGATGTCATGTAGTTAGCAGCGAAATAGGTTAGCGCATAGGCTATTATTGTATTCCAGTTTAA